GCTGTCAGTAGCGAAGGCGCTCGGGACCGTCTTCGAAAGGTCCAACAAGAACTTGAACTGCTTCTGCGAGATCCGGAGATTGATCGGTGACATAGACCCTTCGATCTCAATATCTGGACGCGGGTTATCATGTTGGTGCTCAAGATAGCAGATACTGAAATCAAGATTCACTTTCTGGATCATCTCAAGCTCCTCTACAGTATCCTCACCATAATGGAACTTGGATGTTAAACGAATATTTCGCACACCAGAGGAGATCAGATTTACAGCAGAACTGTCCTTGGCTTCGTCCAGAGGAACAAAGGTGTTTTTGGCGTATATTTCACCCAAGTGTGCAGTGATTGTATCATGCACACCACTCTCTGTCATCGAGCTGGGGAAGACCAGGATGGGCGTCATTACCACAACATCAAATCGCATCCGGGAAGCGTTCTCTTGAAGTTGGTTGGCCTGATTCGCCGCAGCCTGTCGGGCTGCATTGAAAATGGCCTGCATTTTTCCGAATTTCACGAGGAAGTTGATGATTTTGCGATAGGGCTCTTCTACGAAATTGATCTTCATTGACCCTGACCTCAGGAAAACTTCCGAGTCATACCCGGGATAGTCCGCACTTTCTGGATCGAAGGTCTCATACTTGAAGTCTGCGAAGTTGTCACCCTCAATGGTGAGGAGCCTGCGGAGATCTGAGCTTTCCGATGCACCAGTATTGACGTCGTCAATAAGGGTCAGGCTTCCGATACGCGACTGAATCAACATCGAGCCGCCCACGAGATTTATACCGACATCGGCAGTGTTTAGACTGAGCGTAGCAAGTCTGACGCCATCGTTGTTGAGGATGAGGGCGATACTCTTCATGTTGGCTTTAATGCGAATTTTGCCAGTCTGTTGATTGTGTTCATTCGCGGCCGCGAGCTCTTGATTACTGTCATCTGTCTGAGTTACCTGGTTGTTTGCTTGGTCCGGGCTCGTGAATGTGAGCAGGATAAAGTCCAAAAGTGTCAGGAGTGTCTTCCTAGTAACGACGAGATTGATGGTTGATACCGATGTGTCAAGATTCATTGCGACACCTTCGTACGTGGAATGGAATTCAGGAGAATCCGGGTTGACTTTGACAAACTTGAGGTGGAAGAGATCTTTGTTCTCGTCGGCATCAAAGCCTTTAGACGATATGATTCTCTTAAACTCCGGGACTGGGTTTTCTTCGATGTAGTCATCCACACTCAAGGACTTTAGAACGACCTCCGCAACCATGTCGAAGGGTCGCATGTAGAAGTCTAAAGCAAAGCCTTCGGCGACCAATTCAACGAGCAGGTGGTCGCGTAATTGATCATTCGGGTCGGAGCGGAACAATGAGCCTCGCAAACAACCCACCGTAAATTTGAATTCAAAATCGCGACGATGAATGTTCATAGGCTTGTCAATGCTCTTCTGCATGCTTTCATCATCCGACTCGTTATCTGTCTCGTCAACAACAGGCAGCTCTCTTGGGTTAGATGGCTGGAAAGAAGCCGATCTAGCTCTGGTGGCAGTCGCAGGCGCCTCTTTCGCTTGGCCTTCCGTCCTCTTTGAGTCGCCATCATCATTGAAGCGTGGAATGGCAATGTCAATGAGTTTCATCAGACCCTTGTATTTCTTGTCAGACATCGAAGCATGTAGCTCAGGGAGGTGACCGGAGATACGAGTCCTCGTGAGTTCAGTGACCTTGGGGACAATGCACATCTCCAGAACGAAATCAACATTAATGCGGTCAATGATATGCAGATTGCGCGACTCGACATCAGAGCTAAGTTGTGACTTTGTGATGTCAATGCCGGGACCAATAAGGACTTGGGTTGAGTCGAGTTTCAGTAGGAACCGGTCATAGAGTAGATGCTCGAGTTCCTTGTAATCGCCCTCCTCATATTGTCGCTTCTGTTTTGATTGAAGGTCTTTCATAGTCTGTCTGTCAACCAATTCGCTGTTGACACTGATGTGACCAGCGTCCAGAATTAGACAAAGAGAGCTTTCTTGTGTGATACTCTCAGGAACGATGATCAGGGGCGCGTGGATGTCGAACTGTGCATCTACCTTCTTGTGCTCTTCCAGGGCAAATTCCAGACCTGCTCGCGTTTGCTGCCGGATGCCTTCAACGGTAGCACCCGCAGTATCCAGAAGAGCCCCAATAGACTCCATATGTCGCTCCGGTGGCTCAAAGAATTTGGCAATCTCAACGACGAACGTAGGATTGTAGATGACTTCGATACTCTTCATCTTGACCTTGACAACTGAGTCCGCGTCGCTTTCGAGAGGGTTCTGCTCAAGCTGCAAATGGAATAAGCTGTCTTGATATGCAGAAATATCATCGTCTGCTTCGGAGTCTAATTCTTCGTCACCCGACGCTTGGGACAGGCGGTGTTTGGGTTCGGGGAGAGAGTCTTTGACCTTGACGATCTGCGGAAAGAGGCTTCCTGGGGTCGTGCCGTCGTACACTCTCAATCCACCAAGGTTGACATCAATGAAGAACGAGTCAGGCCGTTGCAGAGCTTTAGCTCGGAAGTTGTCAAACACCAGTTTCATGACTTCATCTGCCCTCCCGTGAGGATCCCGTTTCAGTGTGAAGCTACCAGCCTTCAAGCCGGCATTGACCTGGAGCTTGACCCATTCTCTCGGGACGTCGACACTTTCCGCGATCGCCTTTTTCTCGTCCCAGTCGATTGCGTTATACAGCTCCTGCCGTTGTTCTTCAGTCATTGCGGTCTCCTCCGACTGTTCTTTCTTTGCGCCCCAGAACCATTCACCCCATGTCTGCTGTTGCGCCGGTTTCTTAACGCCGATGTTCTCCTTCCGCAGTTGGTTTCGTGCCAGTGACCGCCAGAAGCGGATATCTTCGTAGCTCAACTTCCTCTGAAGCTGGTCAAATTTCTCCGCATCTGGCCCGGTGAGGGTTCCTTCTCGCTTCTGTTTCTTGAACAGATCTATATACGTTACGCGATCATCTCTTCGCTCTTTCTGGTATTCCCAGGTCCAGCGCCTGTTGCGATCATGGATTTTGCTGAGCACGGCCTCTCCGGCGAATCTCAGCCATGCCCTGGGGTCCTCCTTGGGTCGACATTTGGGCTGAAGCTTCTTGTATTCTTGATGACGAATGAAGTAATGGAACAGATCCACAAGCATCAAAGCATCACGGTATTGATTGTCATCGAGGACAAAGCTCAGCTCATCGAACAAAAGCCTCGCCTTTAGGGATGGTCTGTCATGCTTGCCCGATTTGTCCAGCTCCAAGCCCGCACGCCCACTGACAGGACGAAGCATGAACTGAGCGCTGTCTTGATTATCGATGCCAGCCCTAAGCTTCTCAAGCAACTCTGCATGCTCAATTCCTTGAGCTTCGGCGCCCACGTCGGAACCGCGTCCCGTACCCAGAAGTTCTGCATCGGTGTTCCAGTACACGGCCAGAGCGCCCAAGATGGCCAACTTGTGGGTTGTGCCGGAACTGGACTGGATAAAGGTTGGGTTCCACTCTGAATCGGTACTAACGGCACTCAGTTCCTTCAGAGTCACACCGACGGCAAATGGATGGGAGGGCGAAGCAATCGAATCCTCGTAACGGAAGTGGACATTCTTGATGGAGATCTGGAGATTGTCGACGACAGCAGTCACCAAGCTCTGGGTGAAACTCTGGTTTCGGCGCTGCTCCTCCTGGCTCATGCCCTCAGAGTTGCGCTCCTTTAGCATCTCCGCACTCTCGATCTTATCCATCTTGAGGGCATGCGCCCGCCTCTCTTCCTCCTCGGGGTCGTAGTCTGCATCCTCCTTAGGGGCCGCGAGGAGGAACACATCCTGGATGTCGACTCGGACGGGTTTGCCTCGGAGATTCGACCAGGGAATGGAGAGAGTGAGCTGTCCAACATGGCCTTCGACGACGTTGAGGGGGAGATGAAGCTGGTCAAGAGCTTCGCGCCGGAGCTCCAGGTTGTGGAGTTTGACATCGCCAGACCAGATGCCGATATTTAGCTGCTTGGCATCGAAATTCTTGACGTAAATTCCCAGAAAGCGATTGAGTAAGTTGGCAACCAAACCCTCCAACATGGTTGCGGGGTATGGCCGTAACCCGGGCCTGGGGAGGAATTAGGGGCAGTTATAGCAGTAAGGGTCGGAATAAGGTAGGGATCGTGGATGAAAATCGGCCTGGATTGTGTATCCCACGGGTCGGTCAGTAAAGTGATGAACCATCAGATAAGATCACCGGAATGAAGAGGGGAAGCCGGGAAAGTCTAGAGGTACCAAAGATATGAGCTTACTGTGGAGCGCGAGCTTTAGTTGCACTCGCTGACCGTGAAGAATAGAGCCATGCAGGTTGAGGCAGGATGTGCACGCGAAAGCGTTGCCAACAGGCTAAGATACAAGATTGCTCTCCGGAACGTTCTCAAGAGGGACGGAGTGCGGAGAGGAGGAAAGCCGGGCGCAGACCACCAAAGACCAGTGCTCTCTATAGAAAGTGAGCAATCAAGGTAAAAAGGTAACTCGGTGAAGAGAGGGGAAGCCAAAAGGTTGGGTATCAACCTAGAGCAACTTACCCAATTGCGATGAAATGAATGAGAGGCTAGATCCCCAAGAATGGTAGAGCAATACGGCTGTCGTCAGAGACGAGTGTACTTCACTCCGTACCTGGGGAAAGCATGAACTGGGCCCAACAATAATAATAATAATAATAATAGGGGGGGGGAAGAGGGGACTTGCGCTGGAACACTTAGTGACGCGCGGGCACAGTAACTTAGTGACGTCGGTGCTCTTTCCCGTCCGGCCCCGTCCACGCCGGTGAGTTACCGCCCACCAGCTTGCCTGAAGCACCCCCAGCCATTGGCTGGATTCGGCCCAGCAGTCTAGGGCTGCAGCCCTGATGATGAGTCAGCCTCGTGGTCCGCTGGTTCAATTGTGCCTGAGGCAATCAATATGACACCTGCGGGGTTGGAGTCTATGGTACGCCCGAGCTTCGACGTTACCGCACCTCAGTCTAATATCACCTCATTCATTCGTGGTCTCCAGGCTCAATTGCTCCCCCTCCGGCCATACATCTCCACTCTCACGAGTCCAACTCGACCAATTTCCGGGTGAATACCCTCTTCTCCGCTCATACACCTCTTTTCTCTTCTTCTTCCAGCTCAATTGGGTGCGTGACCTCCCCCCCTTCCCCGGGTGCAGTGCTCTATCCGAGCTTTCCAGCCTCTCTCTCTCCACTTTTGCTAACCGCGGACATCGGGTAAAAAAAATTAGCTGTCTCGAAAACGACAATGTTGTACAGAACCACTGCTGCTCGCTCTGTGCTCAGAGCTCTCCAGAGCTCCAACGCCTCGGTCGCCCGCTCGGCCCTGTCCAACAATGTCTTCAAGGCTCCCTTGACCTCTTCCGCTCGCTTCCACGTTCGCCCGACCACTTCCCCCAGCCTCGCTCTGGCTGCTCGCAAGCCCGTCACTACTGCTCTCATCCGCCATGCTTCCACCTCCCACAAGGTGAGAGAGAAACCTCGCGGAATCGACGCGGATGTCGCTCAATCGCTGACCCCGGACATTGCAGGACGGTGAGGACACCGACATGATGGCCGGCATGAAGGCCGAGGCTGTACGTTCCCCCTCCCCAATTGCATGCGATTCTAGCTCCCCCGCGGGGCCGAACCTTTGTTCAATGCTCTGACATGAAACAATTGCTCGAGTACAGAAAGTGATCAAGGACACCTTCAGCCTGGAGGCCGTCCCCAAGGAGGCTCTCTACCTCGGAATGGCCGGTGTCATCCCCTACCTTGCTACCTCCCTCGAGACCGTCTACCTGGCCTGGGAGATCAAGACCGCCGCCGCTACCGGTGACGGTATGCTCTTCTCTGGCCAGAGCGCCGAGTTGCTTCTGCACATGCTCGAGCCCGTCCAGGTTGGCTACGGTGCTGTCGTAAGTTTCACCCGCACTCCATCCACCAAGTTCCTGGCCCCGCCTTCAAGTCTTGGATCTTATGAGAAACAAGGAGCAAAAGCTAACGCCGAGATACCAATCGTCAGATCCTCTCCTTCCTCGGAGCCGTCCACTGGGGTCTCGAGTGGGCCGGCTACGGCGGCAAGTACGGCTACAAGCGCTACGCCGCCGGTGTGGTTGCCCCCGCCGTCGCCTGGCCTACTCTGCTCCTCCCCGTCGAGTACGCCCTGATCTCGCAGTTCCTCGCCTTCACCTTCTTGTACTACAACGACGCCCGTGCCGCCGCCTCCGGCCGCGCCCCCGCCTGGTACGGCATGTACCGCTTCGTCCTGACCTTCATCGTCGGTGCCAGCATCGTCGCCAGCTTGGTCGGCCGTGAGCAGATCTCCGGTACCCTCACCGGCGAGCACACCATCCAGGACAAGATCAACGCCCTGATCTTCCTGCAGAAGAAGGAGAAGGAGGAGGCCGAGGCCCGCAAGCGTGCCGAGCTCGAGGATGCCGAGTAAATAGCTCTTTTTGTCGTCGTATAAAAGAATCCTTCCAAAGGGACCTGTGACTTGTTTCGTGTATTCTGAGCAGAAAGAAAGAGAGACAGAGAAAGAAGGCATGCTGTCAGGGAAGTGGATGTGGTCTGATGTATTGGTTTTTATTGGTTGAGTTTTTCTTGTAGATTACAATGCGAAGTTCAACGATGCCCCCCCCAGCAGACGCTGGTGATTTTTTTCATTTGTCTCAAGAATGTTCAGGACAGCCAAGCTATCCCCGTGGTCGGTTCAGTATGTATGTGTACGTGTTAGTGACCTGTTTCGACAATTAGTGATCCCTGGCCTGCACGAAGTACTCTTCCCCCCTTCTGAACCAGGAGCAATGTAACCAAGCCAATTCCCCGCTTACCCCAAGGAGAAGAAGAAGCAAGCAAGCAAATCCCCCAGATGATTAATCGAGACCCCGAGCTTCAAATGCCCAGCAAATCCCAAGCGGAGGGTTTCAAAAGTACATGTCCGAAGTACGAGCATGTACGGAGTACTGAGTAAGTATATAGGCGCAGTATAGCAAGCACCTCGTCAGGTGACAACATACTCATACTCACATATGCATATATGCATATATGCATAAATAGAATTAAAGGCCGAAAAAAGGGTTTGTGGGGCCCAAGCCCGCCGAAAGCAAGAAGAAAGGGAAACAACCACAGATTGTGACCGCCACCGGCAAGGGATCTTGGGAAGGATGATGTGGAATGGCGGGTGAAGAATCCCAAGTCCGGAGGGCTGGGGGGGGGGGTTGTTATCCATGGGTGTGCCATTGACAAAAGAAAAAGGGAAGGTTAGCCGGGCGGGCATGTCGTTATCGGCGGGTTGATGGGAAAGAAAAAGCATGTGCGTTGTCAAACACCAGCAGAAGAAGAATTAGAGTAACTGCCTGCAGGTTGAGGAGGGTTCTACGCAGAGGGGCTAGAAAGGATCGTCGGTGGCCTTGAATCATCCTGGACAGAGAGGCTGATGCTGTCTGTCTGTGTGCTGTCCAGAGGACAAACAACATTAGTTCATAAGTTCGTTTCTTTCTACGCATGGTTGTGTTCTGCAGATCCAGACCCCCTCCAATGACGAATTCGGAAGAAACAGGTTTACCGACGGGAGGGCTCGACGACAAAGGTGACCACGGCGACGGGTTGAAGATGGAGTGGTAGCACATTGAACCGATTGATTATGTTGATTGGTGGTAGTGCTTCCGAACGTGAATCTGAGGAATCGTGATATCTTGGTGTGGGCAAATCCATAGAGATCAAATACCATAGGTGTAGGGCAGGATATGTCGATGCAGCCGTCTCTGTCAGTCACGTCTTCTCTATGTACACAAGCATATTAGGTTGATGCTTGTGGTTGTGTTCGATGAGTATAGGCTAGTCACTTTGCATCATTGGAGACCCTGTGCTTGGCACACGTTTGGGGAAAGGGCCTGACTAAATGATCCGAGTGATTGAGGTCATACCGAGTCGGCATGCTATCATTCCCGTTGATCTTCCCCTCGGAGAGAGCCACAACGGTCCCTGGCGGGTGTTCGTATACCTGTTCGGGACTAGGATGGGAGAGGAGAAGAGGGCCGATCAATTGCCGTAACCTCTATGGAGAAAGTGTCGTTCATGAAGGTGCCAAATCAGTTGGTTCTCCTACTTCACAAGGTCGTGTCTGGCTGTTACATGCATCGGGTTGGGTGCAATCCATTGGGGTGGTTGCTGGTGAAAGATGTGGTCGAAGACGTCACCGCCCGTTTTTGGGTTGGGCCCGTGGAGCCAGCCAGCTACAGTACAGTACAGTACATACATCAGTGTGGATGAGGGAAAGGCTGCTGCAGAACACCGCGTGTACTGTAACTTGTAGGGCAGACGAGAAGAAGGGCACATGGGCACATGGAAGGGATCGGAGGGACAGCCCATGGATCAACAATGGAACACTGAAGGAGTCTAGTAAGTAGTTTAAAACACGCACATACACGAAACCCGAAGAGTTGAGTGCTTATCAAGAAATCTAAACCTCGACTCCGGAGGGCAAGCAGTGGTCGGGACAATTCGATCCCGTGGCGGCCGTGGCTTCCCCCAAGACAGCTAGCCGCCCCCTTAAGCCACGCCGAACCGACTCCCGGCTGGCAACAATTTCTCCGTAAATCAGAAGGCCGAACGAGCTCGTCTTCTTCTACTCATACTAGTTTTCCAGCCCGGATGGGCTCCAGATGGACTCCGGAGTGACACGCTAAAGAGCACAAGTCAGGGGAAGTGTACCGGTAGATATGTCCTAGTCAGGGCCGAGAGTCAGAGCATTTCATGTTCTACCTACGCCGTGTTGTCCTCTCAATGCGTGTTCATTCATTCATTCATTCATCCAATGTGGGTAAACCACAAGTACTTCTATTGCAGGACAGGCAGTGTCGCGCTACTTTATACCGCGCCAGTCTACGGATACAAGACTATCAATTCTTGTTGTTGGTCGAAAATGGAAATAGCACAAGGATCCCAAGAAGTTCGGAGATAATCCTCATCCCAGAGGCGTTCAAGTGACCATAAAAATTTGAGCCAGGGGTAGAGAAGACCCCGGTCTAGAACCTGGGCCTGGTTCAACGCGTGCGTGAAAACCGACTAGTTGACTAGTAGGAGAAAATTGGACATTGTCATGTGCTCGATCGACGGGAATCTAGTCAAACCGAAGGTCTTCCACGGCGGTCCTGGAGGGACACACCCGCAGAGCCCCTCTTTGGGACCGTAACGAGTCCATAGTGCTTCAATCGTCGGTCTCACAAGGGCCAGTATCAAAAACAGAAAAGCCCAGCCATCGCTTTTCTTTGATGGAGATGTCAAGGGGCTCTCATTCCTCTAGGCTCAGGGGTGCGGTGGGTGACCATTGGGCCTCAAGAATGCCAGTTGTAGATCTACATAGTATCACAGTAGTGCAGATGTACTATTGTATGTACTCAACGGCATACATCTGGATGTCAAGTCAGGCAGGCATGTGGATGTGCGATGCATGGCTAGTCTGGTTCATCCTTCGATGACCGATCGCTTCCATCCCTCCACGCCAGGCCCTGGTCCTTGCGCTTGCAATTTTTCCGCGAGAATTAGTCCATCTCAATCAGTGTCGTGACTGGTGGCATTCGTATCTCCCCATCTCATTGCGAATTGCTTGTTTCCATGGAAGAATAGATCATTGATGGATTGTGAGGAGTTTCAGGTGGTTCTTGCAGGGGATCCCCGATACGGTAGGCACAGACGCCAGCTAATTTATGCGGGTGGAGGGAAAAGAAAACCATGGAATTTTGATGGGTCTTCTGGGATGTCATGTGGAAGTTTGATGACTATTCTTAGAGATTCTGTTCCAATGTTTCCCTGGGCTGCCTCCCAATGCGGTAGTCCAGCTATTACTCCCGCCAGAACAAGAATGAGGAAGTCCCAGCTCGGCCTGGGAAGCTCGGATATCTTGCCGATGGGGGAAAGGAAGTTATACGGGCTAACCGTCGGTAAATACTTAGTATATGCAGAGGCTTTACAACTCAGCACTAAACAGACGTATTTCAAGCCATCTCAATTTGAAGGAAACCGGATTGAACGGAACTGTGACAAGCTGTGACGCTACAGTAGTTTAGGCTGCCAGTGAATTCAGGTTGACAGTGGTCTAGACAGAAGGTACGTACCGTCTACCTGGTTAAACTTGATATACTCGCGATAAGAATGGACAGGGGTTAACCTTCCCGATTTCACACAGCGCACCTGGGGAACATTTTGCCATGGGGGGTGTAAGGGGGGAAGGAGGAAAGCCGGGGGCAAGAGAAGCACAGTTTGTTCGACCCTTTTTCGATGGAAAGAGGGGCGGATGTCAATGCTGACGACGGACAGATGGTCGTCTGATCAGAAAAAAAAAAAAGAAAAAAAAAAGATGAAGGGCCAGAAGGAACTTAGGAAGAGAGTTGGAAGGAAGGGATTGCCCTCGTCTCCCCCACGCCCCCACTTCTCCGCCATGGATGGAACGAACGGGGATTCAGCAGATTGCCAGTTTGGGGTCTAGTATCTGCTCTCCAGCGAGGTTCTGACCGAGTCCTCGCGGGACTAGACTCTGGAACAGACTCTTTCTGCCTGTCTTCCCTTCCTTCCCGACTCCGGACAAGACTCGATGGGCCCAGCACTCCAGGAAGATTCCCCGGAACAAGCTCCCAACGGGATGCAGCAGACAGGATCTCTGTACTTAGTCTGTACAGGACAGTGCAGCAGTCGGTAGATAGTCTAGAGCAGCCAGGGGGGGGCTACTTACTGCTGTTACGACTACCACTACTACCACCACTACTTACTACCACTACTACTACTACTACCTACCACTATCTATGTACTTAATTGAATTATTGTTTTATTTGGGAAAATTTTCAAGAAATAAAAAAAAAATTAAGAAATTGAATTAACATCAATTGAAAAGGTTCCACCTACTTGGATAAAGAGAGAGTCTTCTCCAGCTCCTGTCTCTGGACCAGATTTATTTTCCCCTCTCCTCTCTTCTTATGATTTTCACTCTCTCTTCTCTTCGCAGAACAACTTGACTACAGTACGGAGTAACCACTGGACTCTTACTCATACTTGATAGAAATCCGCCTTGCCACTACGTACCCCCCTATAAAACGCACCCAGTTTTCTCAGCTTTCATCCTCCTCCCTACACCATAACGAGTGATATCATACCCCTCTTTCCCCGTCTCTCCCCGAACCCAACCAAGTCTCTCTCCCTCTCAGGTTGCGCAGCTGCTTCTACCTCCAATTTTTTTTCCCTTTGCTTCTCCAGATCCTGTGCTCCGGGTTCCCCACCTGATTCCACCTGATTTCACCCTAAATCACTTCTACGTCACCAATCCGTCCGCTGCGCTCTCTTTCTGACTCTGCGCAATTCACCCGTACAACAGCCGCCACTTGCTGGACAGTCCGGCTGGTCTTTCTTGTCGTAGTTCCAGCCCTAACGCTTTCTCACTCACCATTCCTTTCCCCCCCTCCCCGCCCAGCTCCACTGGGCCTTTCCCCCTCGTCTGTCTTAAGAAGCGGACTAGGGACGTAATCCTGTTTTCCCCTCGATTCTACTTTCAATACCGCCACCATTTCTCCAATCACTTCCTCCCTTCTCCAGGCTTTGCCTACCTGGTCACTTTTCTCCTACTTTCGGAAACCTGACGGGCAATTTACCACCAATCCTCCGCCTCCGCCTCATCCTCATCCTCATCCTCATCGTTCCCCTCCTCCTCATTCTCATCAATCTCCTACCGTGACTGCCACCGCCACCATCACCACCACTCCTATTACTAGAGACGTTCCTAAACCGGCACCGTCTGCACCACCACAACCACTACCAACTAAAGTTCGCAAGTCCAAGATGAGGAACCCCTTTGATATGTCAGACCTCGACGCACTCGTCGAGGAACAACAAGAACGCCAGCAGAGTTATGCGGACCTTTATACTCACCAGTCGCATGATGGCAATCGCTCTCTGCTGCAAAATGAGCAGCGTCGCGGCGATAACCTCAAGGACCGCTTTATCGGTGCTATCGACCAGGGTACTACGAGTTCCCGCTTTATCATTTTCGACTGCACGGGTGTTCCCGTGGCCAAATACCAGATGGAATTCCGTCAGATCCACGAGCGCTCAGGGTGAGTATTTCACTATACAACTTGCATCGCTTTGGTGTGGCTGTTCCCCGCCGGGCTAACGGATCGATTTTACCTGTACAGATGGCACGAACAAGATCCTTTCGAACTCGTCGATTCGGTCTACACCTGTATCGAAGAAGCGATGAAGACTTTCCTCGCTCTGGGTCACTCCCGGGACGAGATCGAGGCGATCGGCATCACCAGTCAACGTGAGACGGCACTTTGCTGGGACTGGGAGACCGGCGAGCCACTGCACAACGCGATTGCCTGGCCGGATACCCGCACCACTGGCTTGGTGCGAGAACTAAAGGCCAAGAAGGGCGCCGAGGACTTGTCGAAGATTTGCGGTCTTCCGCTGTCCACCTACCCCTCTTCCGTAACGTTGATGTGGATGCTCCGCAACCTGCCCGAAGTGAAGAAGGCCTACGATGAGGGCCGCCTTGCATTCGGTACGGTCGACACATGGCTCTTGTATAACCTGAACGGTGGTCCGGAAGGTGGCCGCTTGGTGACCGACGTTTCCAATGCCTCGCGAACCATGTTCATGAACCTCGAGACCCTTGACTATGACGATCGCCTGCTGGAATTCTTCGAACTGGATCGAAATAAGATCCGCCTCCCCAAGATTATCCCCTCGTCCGACCCCGAAGGGTTCGGGTGGGTCCGGTCGGGGCCGCTGGACGGCGTTCCCATCACCAGCTGTCTGGGTGACCAATCCTCCGCCCTGGTCGGCCACTGTGCTTTTACTCCAGGCTCGGCCAAGAACACTTATGGTACTGGATGTTTCCTTCTCTACAATGTCGGAGAGAAGCCTGTCATTTCGAAACACGGCTTGCTGGCCACCGTGGGCTTCCAATTGGGCAAGAACCGGAAACCAGTCTACGCTTTGGAAGGTAGTGTCGCTGTCGCCGGAAGTGGTATCTCCTTCCTGATGAACAACATGGGTTTCTTCCGTGATTCGCGTAAAGTGAGTGAGGTCGCAGCGAGTGTGCCTGATAGCGGTGGTTGCGTGTTTGTCACTGCTTTCAGTGGTCTGTTTGCTCCCTACTGGATTGACGATGCCAAGGGTACCATCTGTAAGTTCAACTTTTTTCTCTCTCTCATGACTATGACGTCACGTTACTAACTGTCCCTCAGTTGGTATCACCCAGCACACTCAACGTGGACACATTGCCCGCGCGACCATGGAGGCCGCCTGTTTCCAAACGAAGGCCATCTTGGATGCCATGGAACTGGACAGCGGACACAAATTGACGGAGTTGGCCGTTGATGGTGGTATGAGTAATTCCGACATCTGCATGCAGGTATGTTGCATCCTTCGCTCTCTCTATTCCGCGGGATCCGATTACTGACATGTCTTCTTCACCCCAGACCCAAGCCGATATCATCCAAATCCCCATCGAACGACCGGCAATGCACGAAACCACGGCGCTGGGCGCCGCCATCGCCGCCGGCTTCGCCATCGACGTCTGGAAGGACTTCAGCGAATTGAAGGACATGGACCGTGCCAACCGCACCACCTTCGTGCCCCACGTCACCCCCGCCCACAGCCGGAAGATGTACCGACAATGGACCAAGGCGGTCGAGATGTCCCGCGGTTGGCTGGACACGAACGAGGAGAACGACGAAGGCGAAGAAGAATCCGAGCAAAAAGAACAACAAGCCCTCAAGCACTGAATACGCCATCGTTGTTGAGCACACGATTTTCCCGATACAGACCAAAGCGTCCCCATGATATGTGATTATTCGTTTTGGGTGTGGATTTGCGATTCAGCGGTTTTTCTTTGTTTTCATCTTTGGTTTGATGTTATCTCCGGGGTTTACGGGCTACACTGGGTTCTGGGTTTAAAGAGGAAAATGGGAGGGGAGAAGGACACCTTCTCAGAATATGTTTTGTTCTCTTGATGGCGGGAGGTTTCTACTTTGCGCTGGGGATACCCGATCTTCCATACCGGCATCTTTGACTGACGCACACACACATACACACCGCAACATGGCTGGTATATCACAATTATGTTCTCTTTTTTCTTTTGGATCTGATGATGACCACCATTCCTCCCACTGATCTATACATATTTCATGTCATTGTTTAGCTTTATTTCAGATAGATTCTAATATGTATGACGTCTTGATGACACTGAAATTGTTTCATTGGCTTCCCTTGGGCCGTATAGGTATGTGTAGATAATCGCCCCTGAAATGAAAGTGAGACCAGACCCTGCATTAGCACGACATCTAACTACTGCGAGGCCGATCGCAGTTGAATTAAATTAGGCTCTTCCACTACATACGCACAGTGAAAATCCAAACTCTCTGAGGGCTGGGCCTATCGGATTTTCGCACCGATTAGGAACAGTCTATAAAAATTGCAACCTTCAATTGCAATGACAACATGATGCAAATACTCCAAACCAACCAAACAATCCCACCCAACTCCATTATCCCGGAGTCCGATAATACGCAGACGCCCAGTCCCAAAAAACACTCTGCCTAATCCAACCGACGGCCAACCACCACGAATCCCCGGACAGAGGAGGGAGGCTGCACGGAAACGGTTTCAATACCAGGAATTCCCCTCCTCGCCCAACTTCTTGCCGGACGGGTTCATCGAGATGACCCGCTGGCCCGGAAGGGTATCATCGGTGATCATGCTCTCGAAGGTCCCGGAGATGGACCGCTTGCCTATCTCCTTGAAGGAGTCGTAGATTCTGTTACTGCTGGCGGTGGTGGTGGTGGTGGTGCCGCCCTCGTTGCCAGCTGCAGGGCTGTCCCCATCATCACCGCCGCCACCACCACCACCACCAACCCCTTCCCCTGCTGGGCCCCCGTCGGCCAGAATGCTCTTTGGAGTCTGATGAGTCTTCCCTTGATGATCCCCGGCGGAGCCGTCGACGCCACAGCAGGCGGCCCACTCGCGGGAGCGCGAGGGCGCCGAGCCATCGCCCAGATCACACCAGCGGGTGACGACGATGGCATGCCGGAAGCGCAGGGTGTGGGCGGGGCCCTCGGAGCGGTCCTCGGTCAGCTTGACCTCGATGAGGTACTCGGAGGGGCACTCGGGGCAGCGGCGCATGGGGCGGCACTTGCCGCAGAGGGTGGTGAGGGCGTTGGGGTTGTGGACGCGGCGGTGCAGGAGGTCCTTGGCGCGGTGCTCGAGCCCCTGCAGGGCGGCGGTCTCGCGCGGCACGGGGATGTGCGAGAGGGCGCACTTGCAGGCGGCCATCAGGTTGCCGTCGCGCCAGTGGGCGCACACGGAGAAGTAGGGCACGTAGTCCTCGCGCGAGTACAGGAGGAGCCGCACCGTCGACGGCGGCAGGCCCGGGTCCGCGAACCGCGTCGACGTCACCCGCATCAGGAGGTGGTTGTTGTGCACCTGGAACCGCGTCTGGTGCGACCACTCCGTGCGGCGCCAGCGGCGTGACAGCGCCGCGAACGGGATCCCGTACTCCGAGCCGAAGCGGTGCGCCCGCATCGCGAGCTGCACGAAGGTGTAGGGGAGGGTGCGGTTGTGCGTGATGCGGTGCCGCGGCGGCGGGTTGAGCGGGTTGCGCGCTTCCGGGCACGTGAAGAGAGGGTTCAGGGTGTCGGCGGGTTGGAGCTTCTCGTGGCCTGGGTGCGTGCGGCGGTGGAAGCGGGCGCAGGGGATGCAGAGGAGGTGGTCGGGCAGGTGGCGGTCTTGGGTGGTCAGGAAGTTGATGCGCTGGGTGTGGTTGGAGGGGAGGGAGAGGGCGTGGAACGGGTCCAGCGGTTCCAGGCGTTGGTGAAGCGTTTTGCTGGAGAAGGCCAGGCTGGCCGTGTCGGCCGGCGTGAGGTAGTTCGTTGCGAGGTGTACCCAGAGCTGTGAGGGTAGGCTGGCGATGTGTGGCTCTCCGGGGGCCCGGTTGTCATATTCGCCTTCGAGGCCATAGGGGTCGTGGCGGTTGAAGTCCTGGTCGCCGATCGTGTGGAGGATGGCGGTATGGTCGCGGTTTTCACCGAGCTGGGAGTCTTTGTTGGCGTTGAGTTCCCGGTATTTCAGCCGATGGGCCTCCAATGGCGCCAGGGAAGGTAGTGGCGGCACATCTTCGCTCGTGGTGCTGGGTCGGTGCAGGCCGGCTGCCCCTCGTAGGTCCGGCGTTGATGCGCTATAGCCCTTGCGGAGGACTTGACGGGATTTCTTGGGCCGGAGGGCGTGGGCAAAGAAGGCCCGGATGCCACTTTTCTTCTCGCCGGGACTCTCGGCTGACATTGTCAATGTAATTGACAGGGAGTAGAAAGAAGAAAGAGGCAAGGAAAGGAGGTTGCCAGAAGATGCAGGGGACGGAAGTTTGGAGATGAGACAAAAGCGGGCTGTCGATGCGATAAGATTAGAAAATCGACGGATCGGGCCCGGAAGCTGCGGCGCTGCCTTCCGCCCACTGCCGGGCCTGGACCCCCTCCGTATGCTTAATTACGTCGAGGTAAGTACAAGAACCTGATTAGAATGACTTCGTGCATTAGGACCGTACATTAAACAGCCTGACAAGTCCCGAGTATCCAGATTACGTTATACAAAACAGATCGTGAGAACGCTCATCAAGCCGCGCTAGAATACAATCACTACTTGCATTACACTTACGCCGAGAAGCGCTTCTCCACGGCCTTCCAGTTGATGACGTCCCAGATGGCCGAGAAGTACTCGGCCTTGCGGTTCTGGTATTGGAGGCTGCAGACGACTTAGTTGTGGTGTTTCAACCGCAAGGGGTCCGAGTCAACTTACTAGTAGGCGTGCTCCCAAGCATCAATACCCAGCAGGGGCTGGAACTGACCGACGACGGCGTCCTGGTTCTGTCCTCGAGTCAGTATCCTCCACCAATCACATCCAGTAGGTGTACACTTACAGCATAGGTCTTGATGCCGATGTTGCCGGTCTGCTTGTCCTTGACGAGCCAGGCCCAGCCGCTACCCTGGATACCGGCGAGAGCACCGTTCATCTTGGTCTTGAACTCGTCCAGGCTGCCGAAGCTCTCGTCGATGGCCTTGGACAGAGCACCAGCAGGGGGCTCACCACCACCAGCGCTCTTGGGAGCCAGGTTCTCCCAGAAGAGGGTGTGGTTGATGTGACCACCACCGTGGAAGTTGATCAAGGGCTTCAGGGCGATCTGAGCGGCGATGTCGCCCTTGTGCTGAGCCTCCTGGAGCTGCTCGATGGCAGTGTTGTAGCTGTTGACGTAGGTCTGGTGGTGGTTCTTGTGGTGGAGCTCCATGATCTTGCCGGAGATGGAGGGCTCCAGAGCACCGTAGTCGTCTGTCGAGGGTTAGTTTCGTCGCATGCTGGGTTTTGTTGCCGTCGGAGGAAAGAAGCTAGAAAGCTGCATTCTTGCACTGAGTCCGACTATCCGAGGGCCAAGGAGTCCTTACAAGCCAAGTCAGGCAAAGTAGCCTTGCCGCGGGCAAAGGTCAAGCTGCCGGCAGCTCTGGTAGCCGAAGCTCCGTTGCGGAGGGCAGAGCGGGCAGTGTTGCGGACGAGAGAAGCAGCCATGATTGATGATTATGGATTAGACAGGTAAGTGGAGAGGAGAAGTGAGGAATGAGCAACAGTTTGAAGAACGAAGAAGAGAAGAGGAAAGAAAAAAGAAGAGAAGAGAAGTCCGCAGTGAGGAGGAGGGCGGAAGAAGTTCCTAACGTCATTGTTGCTTTCGGAGAAGGCATTTCCCCGCCCCGACCTGGCCCGATTTGGGATCCACCAATTCTGGAGTGGTCCGGCACTTGCTGCCACTCCCATACCTTATACCTTGGCCGAGAGGTCGCCATTCATCGCCTCTCTTCCTTTATAGTCTCCGTCGGTGATGACTTCTACCCTTATCGGTTAGGTCGCAAGCTCAGAGTAGATTTAGTCTACATACTGCGACCGACGCCCTCCAGGTCCCGGTCATGTCTTCCTCCGAATCTGAGCCCGTCGCCGGCCAAAAACGCAAAGTTGCCGACATGAGTTCCGACGAAGAAGAGAATTACCGCCCTACCATGGGCTTTCGCGGTTTCAACCGAGCAGCGTCTCGCTCTGAATCACCACCCGCGCACGGCGGGCTAGGCAGCGGGCGGCGCAACCCCTGGAACAACACGGCGCAGGCTACGGCGAAAGGTGGGAGCAATAATGGAGGCAAAGGCATGGCGGGGGGTAACTCCTTCGCGGCGCGCATGATGGCCAAGATGGGTTACAAGGAGGGGCAAGGTCTAGGCTCTTCTGGACAGGGTATCATCAATCCGATCGAGGCGCAGGCTCGCCCCATGGGCGCGGGTCTGGGTGCGGTCCGCGAGAAGACTAAACAAGCTCGAGAGGAGGAAAAACGGGCGGCGACACTGCGCGGCGAAACCGTCGAGGAGAGCTCAGATGAAGAACGCAAGAGGCGACAAAGGAAGAAGAAAGAGGAGCGCAAACGCGATGGTCGCAGCGGAACAAGTACACCTGTCGCTCGAGCGAAGCCCAAATTCCGAACCGCGCGCGAAATTGAGCAGGATATGGAGGGACTGGAGGTTCCTAATGTGCTGAAGTCATTGATCGATGCGACTGGGAAGGAGCAACGAGTGATCACCTCGACCGCCGGTCTGATGACTCCGCAGGCGTTCGTGAACCAAGGCGAGGGAGAGGCCTGGAAGATTGCACAACGGGCACGCAACGACCTCGAGGCCTTCGCGGACGAGTGGAAAGGACTGACGGAGAGGAAGAAGTACATCGAAATGGAGGAAACTCAGATCGTGGAGCAATTGGATACAAACCAGCTCAAGGCAGATCAGCTCACCGAGTTGGTTGCGGCCATCGGAGCACTGGAGGTCTCCGAGAAGGAGGAAGTCCGGGCCAAGTTCGACGAGTTGACCGATAAGCTCGAGTCGATAGAGATGAAATTCCGCAACGAGATCGACGAGTACCGATTACCGGAGACTGCAGTGGCCGCGATTCACCCTCTCTTCCGGCAAGCCATGGAGGAATGGGAACCTCTCAAGGAGCCCACGTTCCTTGTAGCCAACTTCCGCCGTCTCCAGCCCTTGCTCCTTCGCGACATCCGGGGCGAACACACCCAGCGCTCATCCACCTCCCCCTACGAAACCATGATCTACACCCTCTGGCTGCCGCGCGTGCGCTCCGCCCTCCTCAACGACTGGGACGTCTTCGAACCCGCCCCAGCCACATCCCTTATTGTGGCCTGGAAAGAACTCCTCCCACCCTTCATCTACTCCAACGTCCTCGACCAACTCGTCGTCCCCAAACTCACCAGCGGACTCAAGGAATGGAAACCCCGAAGCAGCAGCAGCAGCAGCAGCCGGCGACACCACCACCACGCATCCTCATCCTCCCGGTTCCCCTGGTGGCTCTTCACGTGGCTCCAATACCTCGACGACCGCCACACCAACCCCCGCCATGCGACGGGCCTGCTCTCCGACGCGAAGCGCAAATTCCGGGTCGTACTCGACACATGGGACCTGGGCAAGGGGTTGATCAGCGGGATCGAGCTCTGGCGGGACGCCCTGGGCTCTGAATTCGACTCGTGCCTGCGCAACCACCTCCTCCCGCGCCTGGGGCGCCACCTCCGCGAAGACTTCCAGATCAACCCGCAGGACCAGGACCTCACAGCGTTGGAGCATGTCCTCCAGTGGCAGCCCTTCTTCCCGGCCAACGTCATGGCCCTGCTCCTGACGGCCGAGTTCTTCCCGAAATTCCACCAGATCCTCTACATCTGGCTCACCAACGACCCCAACTACGAGGAAGTCGCCGAGTGGTTCACCTGGTGGCGCACGCAGATCCCCGCCTCCCTGAACGAACTGACCATCGTCGACGATGAGTGGAACAAGGCCCTGCAGACCATGGACCTCGCCTCCCAGCTGGGCGACCGAGCTGCCGCCGAACTCCCGCCTCCAGCCACTGCCGAACCAAAGAAGACAACAACCCACGACCAACCCCCGGCCGCGACAACCACAAAACCCACACCCACCACCACCATCCCAGCACCCCGACCCAAACCCAAGATCATCGAAGAGGTCGCCTTCAAGGATATCCTGGAAGGATGGTGCATGGAACAGGGGCTCATCATGCTGCCGCTCCGCGAGGCGCACCCGCAGAACGGCCAGCCGCTGTTCCGGATCACGGCCAGCGCCACGGGCAAAGGCGGCGTGGTCGCCTTCGTGCAGGGCGATGTCGTCTGGGTGCAGAATAAGAAGACCAAGGAGGTGTGGGAGCCCATGGGGTTGGAGGATCGGTTGGTGGAGCGGGCCGAGGGGAAGTGATTCGTCCCTCTCTCTCTCGATCTCCCTCTGCCTTCCGTCCCGCATGAACATTCTTCAGCATTTTTTTTGTTGGTTTCTATAGATAGCGAACCCAGCTCCTGAAACTGGCTGTATAGCCATGATCAGGAAAGACAAGAACAGCGAGCAAACAGTTCCCAGGGTTTGTAATTATTCGAGTTATGATACCATGTTTTGAGACCAGCCCCCCTCCTCTTGCTCCATTTTTCGTAATACTAAACTCGTCCTTAAATTTCTGTGTCGCGGGAGTGTATGGGTATACTGCAGTTAAAACTCTCTACTCCATCTGAGTATGAATCTAAATTAGGTGATCGTGGAGTATGATGCTAAGCCCTAAGCACTAACATCCTCACTCGATCATAAAATCCTCAATCAAGCCGAAACCATCAAATCATGCAGTTTCCTTCATCATTATCATTATCGCACGGGATCTAACTAAGGCAACGAATGTAAATCCAGCAATGGAAGAAAGAAGGAATGAACAAAGTAAGAAAGAGTGACTAGGAATAGGACGAATAGAGAGTGACAATTCAGAGTGGGATCATGACAGACACAAGGAAAAACATAACCATCAAGTTTTCTGTTTGGGGAACAAAAGAGCGTCTCGTCACGTAAAGCCAGAGTTAAGCCTGACCATAAATTGCATGTGTGAATGGATATCATGTGCCAGCCAGATACCTTTTATCGCGAATGGAACAAGGCAGCGTCAGGGGAAGTGTCTTGAAAGTGATAGAGAAATGAGTAAGAAGCCCTGGGATCGTCCGCAACACCAGTAAAAACCCTAACATCATAGGTAACTCAAGGGGGTATCATGACATTCAATTCATCAGGTCGACGCAGATAGAAGAAATGACGGCTTCAAAACATGAAGAAGAAAAGGAAGAAAACTAGGGCCGGATTCGACATGATTTGCAAAGGCCCTCAGCCTCGACGAGACTTTCGGTCCATATATCGCGGCCGTCGTGTTGGGTCGTCCTCGTCGGAACGAACGGAACCTCTGGATTTAGTCTCCAGCGCAAAGCTCACCGTGGGCACGTTGGCATTCCCGGCAGACTCTTGAGGCTTGCGCTCCCCAAATTCCTGGGCCATGCGCGTGGGTCTGTCTTTCAAGATCCCACTTGGGGGCATGGCATGCTTGGCGGGTGAATGGGGCTCGGGCTTCTTGCTGGAGCCTTTCATCCAGCCGAAGAGTCCAAGGGAACTCCGTCGCTTGTGGTCTTTGATGCTAGCGGTCAACGGTTTGAGCGCGGGGTTTGTTGTAAAGGACGAGTCAGTGAAAGAATGGGGAAGAGTCCGGCGAGCCTGGTCCGCCATCCCGTCGGCGTAGGTGGGCATGGAAGCGGAAAGGTCACGAGGGCCCTCTGAGTGTAAATTGACTCTAGACGGCCTGGGTGGGGCATTGTTGCGCGTTTTGTGTATGACTGGCGCAGGGGCACCCTCATCACTATCCGTTTGGTCGTCAAATGGTGACGTCTGAAAGCGACGAGCGGTTCCGGAGCGACCAAACAGGGGCCGTAGACTGATGCGCTTACGACGCTCCGTGTCTTGCTCCGGCGGTGGTCCGGGCTCTAGAGACTGCAAGTCAAGCGTAGGAATGTTGGGGATATCAGGTTCTCTGAAGCCCGAGTCGATACTATGTCTGCGGCCGAGAAAAGAAGCCTGGCTGGGTGCGCGTGCAACGAACAGACGAGGATTCAACGCAATAGGCTCCAGATGTGTCAACTCAGGCTGCTCTTTCTCTGCCTGAGGAGCAGGCTTGGCTGCTTCAACCCAATCTTGAGGGGTCAATGGCGGCGAGGACGATAGTGTGGCTGAAAGCTCCTCAATCGACCTAGATGGCTTTTTTTGATAGTGTTTGTTATCTATCTTGGAGAGGACCCTTTCCAAGCTATCTTCGTTGTACAGCGCATTGCCACTGTAGTAGCCAAAGTTGGCCTTTTCAAGGGATTCCCGGTCAAACAGCCGGTCATCCCTAGAAGTGATGCAATTCAACGGAAACAAAGTCGGAGTCACGTCCCCTCCGGCCGTGCTCTGGGAGGGCGCCGGAACATCACTGACATTCGCTGTCAGATTGTCACTACCGACACTATGACACGAGCTTCTCTTGGTTATTAATTCATCCACGGAACGCGGGCGCCGGAGCCGGAATCCCATGGCGACACCCTGATCATATTGGCTCTTTTCTGCAATAATGCTCCCATTGGAGCGGCTCGGACACGCAGCGTATGCTGTGCTCATGGTATC